ACTTAACTTCTTCTAGAACTTTATGCCATGTTTTACAATGAATAGGCAATTTCATTCAATTACAGGCTAGCATGCTTAGAAATTCAGCCAACAGTTGAGCCTCTTCACCAATTGGTTGCCTATTAGAGTTTGCAGACACTACAATATGTTAATTAGGATGTAATGCAAATAATTTTTTCAAAGTTCAAAAACTCTAGGTGAAATCGAAGACTCTAGGGTGAAACCTAAAAGCCCTAGGTAAAATTCGAAACCCTAGGTAAAATCTTAAACCCTATGTAAAATCCTAAACACTATGTGAAACCCCGAAACTATAGTTCAAATCTTAAATGAAAACCCAAGCCTCAAACTCTTGGAGCTCTAAGTGATTTCAAATTTTTGTAAATTTTTAAAGATTTGTATGAAAACTTTTTATGAAATAATTTATTTCTGAATGTTGCCTAGATGATAGGGTATTTAGAAAATTTTATTTCATTAAGAATTTTCATATATTTTCATAACTTAAAATAATAAATTTAAGAATAAATAATAATAAACAATAAAATGAGATTTTAAATATAAATAGTCGTACTCAAACTCTACCTAACTATTGGAGAGCCTAGGTGGTCTCTTTATATTTGAAAGCCTGATCCATAAATTCATATTTTACCATCATCTGCATATATTTTGTTTCTAAAATAATGTGTACATTCATAATTCATATATATGTTTTTTGATGTTTAACATTAATTTTTTTTTTTGTTTTTACTGTATAAGAAAATTTTCTTTAAAATTTTTGGTTTTGAATAAATAAAATTAAAATAGCATTTCGTGAAATATAATTGATTGATACTCTACCTAGATGTTAGAGAGTTATCAATAATTATCATTTACAAAAAATATTATTTTATTATTTTTAGAAGAAATGTTATGTAAATCTTAAATGAAAAGACTATATTCGAATTCTGTCTTTATGTCGAAGACTGTGAATGTATTTCTTTAATTTGATGATTTTCATAATATTTCTAAGAAAAAGATTTTTTTTAAAATTAGTTTTATTTCTTACAAACAAAGGGAGTTATAATTAAATTTCATATAAAAATCCATTTTTATCCAGAATTATAAACAACTCATAATTAATTATATCAATTCTATAGACATTGTGAGAGTGCTAATCATTTCCCATACGTAATCGACTATTGAGCCCAATTTATTTTCGTAGATTAAAATCATCCTTTTAATAAAGCTTTAAATCTATTTTGTTGTTTTATTAAAAGATAAATTTTTTTGATAGCTAATTACACCCTAAAAATAAATTAGTGGCGACTTTTCTTTTTTTTTTAATGATTTTTAAATATTTTATGTTTAAAAATCGAGTATCTGGATCGTTACGTTATGATAATATAAATATATATTTACGTTATAATTATATTCAAATATTAGATCAAGATAATCAACTATTATATTATAATTAAGTTACAATCATTAAATAATTAATTAATAAAGTAGAACATAATTAAACAATTAAATTCACATACAATAAGACTTTAATTTAAGATTTCAAAATTTTAGAACCTTTTATTTGCCTCAAAACCAAAATCTCATTGGTTACATATATATATATTATTTATTTATGAAGAAGAATGTATTTATATCAATGTATTTTTATTTATTAAATCTAAAGGATCAAGTAGAGTCAATTTCTTATCATTAATATTTTACCTTATCTTTTTCTCTCCTTATCTATTATTTCAAACTTTTTCAAATTTTACTCTTACCTTCCTTCTTCTTTGTCTTCCATCTGACAAATTTGGAATATATTTTGTACGCATAATGAGAGTTAATGAGAGTTTGTCAAGCAAATTACTTATTCTTTTTCCCCACTGAATTACTATGGAATATTGAAAAGTGAAACCCCCATATTCCTAAATTTTTAGGTTTATTTCTGGTACCTCGTACATCAAATTGATAAATTGCTATAATTGAATTAGGAATTTTAATTATGAATGTTCATCAATTTTCTTGTTACTTTTTTTTTTCAAAATTCATTAGAGAATGAGAAAGTTCACAGTGAACTATAAAAGAAGAAAATTAAAATTCTTTAAATTTTGCCACTAGATGAAGTGCAATATTTTTAACTACATTGATCATAGCATTTGAGATTAGGACAAAGAGAGAAACTAAGCTTCTAACAATGAGGAAATAAAAAAAAAAAAAAAGTAGATAACAAAGATGAGTAAAGAGGAAAGAGAAAGAGAAAGACTCCAAACTCAACAAAAAAGAAAAAAAAAAAAAGAAAGCTAATAAATTTATGTTTAAATGTTAATTTACATCAACCATTAGATTGAGTTGATATCAACGCTTATAAATTGATAGTGTAAGTGGATCATTATATATATATATATATATATATATATATATATGTGTGTGTGTGTGTGTGTGTGTGTGTGTGTGTGAATTGAGAATTAAGCTAACAAAATATAGAATAATATCCACTTGCCATGTGAAATTGCTAACTTTGCGTGGGAGTTATGTTAATATTGTATTTAGGTGTAAACTTATTAATGTTTCTAACTACTATGATTAAAGCAAATAAATTATATTGAATAGGTTTAGGCCATCTCCTCATTCACTTTGCATTGCTTAATTAAGATACTTGACCAACTCAAAATAATTTCTAAAAATTATTATGTATACATATATATGTATATGTGTATACGTATGTTCTTCGTATATCCTTGAAGTTAAAATCCTTTTCCTTATTAATGTCAATTTTCAATTGGTTTGCTTTTCCAAGTGTCAAACACTACATAATTATAATAATCTTTCATTAATCCTTCTAGGAGTTGGAGTGATTCTTAAATCTAATTGATTTTTCTAAAAGGGATTCACTAGTGGTAGTTAATTAATCATTATATACTGTTAAAGGTTGTTATAATTCACCTTTTAAATTAATATTTTGGATTAAAGATTAGACCTGTTCAGTGCAGGCTTGACTCGACCCAAGCTGGAATTTGGATAAGATTTTTTAAGCTCAATCTGGGTCTAAACTGAATTATATTTAATTATTAAAAAGTAATTTTTATTTAATTTTAATTAAATATATTTATAATATTAATTTTTTAATATTTTTTTAAAAAATTTTGGGTTTCTTGGAGCCCAATTGATCGAGCCTTGGGTAGAGTTTTTAGAAGTCCAACCAAGTTAGACTCGATTCATGAATAAATTTAATAAAAATTATATAAATATAAAAAGAGAGGAGAGATTTATTTATATAGGTATAAAATTAATTTAATTTTACATTTTTTATAATATTTTATAGAATTTATATTTGTTTAATCTAATAATGTATTCCATACTTTATTTATATACATGATACACGTCAAATTTCAAGTTAATTAAAATGTTTAACTATTTCTTTGATATATAAAATTCAACCATTAAATATATAATATCGAAAAAAATAATATTCTTGATTGATATGATAAGTGCACGATAGATATGATTATATTGTTAAGTCTAATGATTAGTTTGCTAAAATATTAATCGTACATGAATTTTATAAAAGGATATAAAACTTAATAATTTTACACATTAGTCTATTTCCCTGTAACTTGATCCTTCCTCATGTGCATGTGTGTGTATATATATAGCAAATGCATGGCCAACTCAATTATATCAATATTCCAATAAAAATTAAAAGACAAAACTCTCACACATCTAAAATAAAGGATTTCATTGACATGCATGTACCAATTTAATTAATGTATAAAATATATAAAAATTAAAAAAATTGAATATGTTGCGTAAGCTTCTTCATGCTAAGGTAAGCATGATTCATCAAGCAATTATTCATAAAATTATGATTCATAGATATTGTACTTGATTAAGACAGAACTCTATTATTATAGCTATGAAGTTTATATAACTTCTTTCCTGTTGTTGTAGGCCTTAAATTTCATGCAAATTAATAGAGTTAATAAAGCCTCATTTTTGTTTTTCATGTATATATATAGTGAAACTCCATATCATTTACTGCAGAAAATGCTTAAGTTTAACGTCAAATAGTGATCTTACTATATTTTTGTATATGGTAATTTTGGGAAATCGAGTGTCATCGTTGGATTGATCGATCTTAGTCCTGTCGCTCAAATCATGTTTACTAAAAGATCAACAAGTTTCTGAAGCAATAGGACATCATGTTCCAAATGACTAGACTTTGGATGGGGTGTTGGGGGGTCGGATTCTGATCCAACATTGCCTGTGACTCATGTGAAACAACGTCCAACAAAGAAGAGAATTGGTTTTCTGATCCAGGGTTTTCTGTCTTAACCCTTTTTAGCATTTTGTTTCTTTGAAAATGATTAGAATTATCATACTCGATCACACCTAGAGAAACATGTCAAGCAAATGTTTGAAGATTTAACAAATTTTTTTTTAATATCTGAAAGATTGTCAGAATTTGATTGATGATTATTAAAAGTAAGAGTTCATCGTTCTACAAATAGATATAACAAACATTATTTTTAGGCAACGAACAATATTATATTGATTAAGCAAACATATAAGAAATGAAAATCTCCAAACATGTAGGTCATGGTTAGCAAAACTTAATTAGTCTTCCATCAAATCACTCTCTAATGATGATTTTGGGGCTTCCTCATTGCATTTTATAACACATTTGATCCCAACTTACCGACAAAAAGCTTAGGATAACACATCATTCTAATTTCCTTCTCTTGTTTCAAAATGGACAACCCCTTTTAATCATATTAATTTCATGTAAATTAATATTTCAATTATACTCTAATTTGATAAAAGAGGACTTGAATAACTGAATTCTTTGAGAAAAAATACATATAATAACTATCATTGAACCAAATGCTCATATACATATACATATACATATACATATACATTAGTTAAATCTTGAATCAAATAAAATAAAAGTGGACCAACAAAGAAACTGAATATATAAATTAATTAAGCTTGTCTTATACCAACAAAAGTAATAGTATTGCCATTAAAATTAAAGGCTTTGCTAGTGCAAGTCCATTTATTATACAACGTAATTACAGTGCACACTCTTCCACATGGGGGAGCATCTTAAAATATATAATATATATTCTAGTTTTTGTTTGATCTAGTGACCAAAACCTAGTAAGAAAGTACAACGCAGAAAAAATAATAAAAGTTGGCATATTATTACATAATTAAACTCCTAATTATAGCAGCCTCGGCACTATCAGTATCAATTGTAGCCAAGAGCTGGGAGAGTCGCTCACTTAGATCATCCACCTCTCTATGCAAGCTTCTAATGTAATTGCAAGTCTCTTGTAAAACCTTGGATGCTGATACCTGCAGCAGGAGTACATTCAAATTCAATGCCATGTTAAAAAATATGTCACTTTCTTCTGACAAAGCTGCTCCACATTACTACTATTTTGCATAGTATCATCGATTTATCTACGAAACATAATCGAACCGAGTCAAAGTGGGTAGATGAAGTAGACTAAAATTTGATCGACAAAGTAAACTATTGGGGGCTTGTGCATTATCATATATATCCCCCACATAATGAGAACTATTGAGGGCTTGTGAATTATCATATATATCCCCCACATAATAAGGCTAAGACGGTGCCTTAATTAACTAAACAGGAAGGTTTGGCATCCTCCTCCAGAGTCAAATCAGGGCACTGCTTTAAGTCAATGAGAAGCTGAAACCTATGAAAAAAAAATGTTTCCTTGACATCCGGGTCAAGTTTTCAAGCTGTTTTTCGAAGACTACCATTATTATAACTGAAATGTACTATTCCCATGTGGCACATGCACCAGGGAATCAACCTACGTTACAGTTTCCACTGTCCTTACACTTTGGAAAAAATTCAACTTCTTTTTACTTGTTCTTCTTGAAACAGGGAAGGAGAACTAAATTGAGAGAGAGAGATAAGTTTTTTTTTTTTTGGAAGTACCTTGTCAGATCGCCTATCGCGAATCTCAGGAAGAAGTTGGCGTAACTTGGAGACAAGTTCAATGATTTGATCATCTGAAATCCTGGATACGCCTGCTGTCGACTGCCTTGACCTTCTGCTAGACATCTTGGAAATTAACACTAAGGTTTTATACCTGTCAGCTAGCTGCTTCGCAAAAAAATGAGGAAAAACCAAGAAATGTTCTTGCCCTTGGTATAAGCCTACGGGTTTTAAACCACCAAGACCCAAGCTAAAGCCAGATAAGCAAATGGGGAAGGAAAAGAACCATATAAATAGAAAATGTTTTGGTCTGGCAAGAAAGGAAAAAGGTAGAAGCAGAAGAATGAGGAGTAGTAATAGTAGTAGTGTTAGATATAAGATGTGAAGAAATGGTGAAAGTGATAAGAGAGATATAAAGAGGTAGGAAGGAAGGACCACCAAGGGGGAAGTGAGTGTGTGAGAGAGAAAGAGAGTACAATAACAAAGGCAGTGATGTTGGATGTGATGAAGACAAGTGCATTGGAGAAAGCAGAGTTGAACTAAAGGCTTTGTTTTTTCAAGTGAAAACGTGAGAGAGAGAGAGAGAGGGAAGTGTAATAAACCTTTTTGTTCATGTTCCCAACTTGGGGTTTGATCTCAAGTGGGCTTAAAGAAAAATGTTTGTTTTTGAGCTAACATTGTGGGCCTTCACGTGCATGTCTCAATTCACAATACCATGTGATCATCATCCCCTTCCCTCTGCTCTCCTCCCCACTCCTCTCCAGCCACACCTTCTTTTAAACACTGAATTCCATAACCCCCAAATCACCTTTTCACACTTTTCCTTTTTCTTTTTGCTCATTCAGAAAAACCAAACCCTGTTTTCTTTTCTAAACTTTTTTCCTTCTTCTTCTCCTAACTCCCATCTTTCAGGTGCCTTTACTTCCCTATTAATCAGTCTCTACAGCCAGGGTTCTGATCTCATTTCAGTTGCTAATGGTTTATATATTAGAAACTGGAATTTATTATTTTTTAATCTGTTTCGAATTTTTTTAAAATGGTTTGGGACTTTGGGATGACATGACATTTTAGATTCTGTTAATGTACTGGAGAGGAAGAGAAGAAGCTAGTACTGTTTGTTAAGGGTTTTGCTAACAAGCTCGTAAACATATTTTTTTAAAGCTATTAAGTAATTTAATTTTTTTATACTTTAAAATTTACAATATTAACTCTCAATTGTTGCATTTAATCAAAAATATTACTATAAAAAATAAATTTAACTAACTTAAAAAAAAAAACTTAAAAGACATTCTTTAGAAATATTAACAAATGTCTATTAACATTGGTTAAGATTATATTTAAAAACATATATAATTAATGTTTTTTCTCTTCCAAAAACACATGTTAATAATCTTTTTATCCTTTGAGTTCAAATTTATTAATAGATGGTTAAAATATAATTTTTTATAAATTTATAAAATCCGATAAAAAAATATATTAAGCAAAATCCAAAAATTTTTTATCGCTAAAAAACACATATTAATGAGATCTTTAGTTATTAAATCTTATATGGTCTTTATTTTTTTTTTTATTGAATTGTTAATTAGTGAAAGAAAAATTGGAAGAGAGGGTAATTGATGATAAGCATGTGCACTGAGACCCATGATTACCTAACACATTGCAATAAAATTTTGGTTGATCCAATAACTATTTGTTGTTTTAGGGAGAGAAGTTGATTAAGTGTTTATTTTTGTAAATAAGAAAATTTTAGTAACTAATTGGTAAGTGAATTTTTAGCAACGAAGCAAAAATCTTAAGTCTATCTCTCTCTCTCAAATAATTGTTCTTCTTCTTTGTTTTGGACATAACTACGTGAGTGTTGGAACCCTCTCTGATTTTCAAACCCTCGAAATCACATGACTTTTCCCTCGTACACACGACATGGATATGAAATTTCCATGCTTTTGTCTAGCAGAGTCACGTGTCATTAGCAAAAAAAATTTTGATCTTGCCCCCATTCTATATAGATCGACCCCTCCCCCTTCAGCTCTCTCTTGCTCTCACTTTCTCTGGATTTTATTGCTCCAGGGTCTACAACCAGATTAAGCTTTTTCCATCCACCAGCAAATTCTTGAATCAACATTATTCAGAGGAATCTTTCCTGCTTCCAAATTTCATTATAAATTTAAGTATTTTATTCATATCATATTAAATACGTATAAAATATAAAAAATTATCATATTAAATTTATATCAATACATCAAATATAAAATATATTTTTTATCAAATTCATATAATTTTTATTAAAATTTTAAATTATATTATTTTTTTATTTCATATTGTTTTCGCATATAAAATTGCAATACGAATATAGGGTATCTAGGTTTTGACAGTTTTTCTTGATTCTATTGGGGTGGCTTTATTTCGAGCAGAGGCGTATGCTTTCTTCCCATACGCAAATCCGTCACTGACATGTCGATTTCGGTTACCTTTTCACATGATAATTGATCTTTGCGTGGAAGAGCCATGCGGGGCAAAAGACTCATGCTCTGAGATTTTAATGTCCCTTAGAAATTATTACAAAAATTTTTTAAAATTTTAATTCTTTTATAATTTACCCCCACTAAAAATGAAAATATATATGATATTTTTATAAATATTTAAAAGAACAAAATTATAATTACAATATAAATAATTTATTTTACAAAAATAATAGGTTCACATGTATAAATATAAATAAAATAAACATTTATAAATAATTTTTTTATTTAAAGACCATCATTTCATTTAAAAAATAATACAAATAAAATACAAAGTGATATTCTTTCTACTCCACCTAATATTTATTTGCTATTTAAATTTTTTTATGTTGGTAAAATAGTTTGATATGGAGCCTAATATATGATTTATTTATATTTATATTTATATTTATATTATAAGTAGATTATGATTGAAGAATGTTGTACTTTCTTAAGTTGATCAATGAAATAATTTAATTTTTATGAAATTATTTTTTATATTTAAAATTATATTATTTAATTACAACTCAAAATACATAATAGAATATGCATATTGATTTTGTTTGCATAATTACATTTTAATATCTAATATAAACTATAATATTATCTTCTTATTTTTTAGAAATTATATAAACTAAATTATCTAATTTAATTAGTTGTGAAACAATATCTTATTAAGAAAAAATCAATTTTGAATGAACCATCCAAAATCAATAATAGTGACATACAACATTTTACAAAAGTAAGTTCATGTTTAATTAGATTTAGATGATTTTCATCGGATCCAAAATTATGAAAAAATATTTTAAACTATCATCTCAATAAAAAAGATAATGTTTAAAAAATTTATTTTCACACTGAAAAACCTATAAAAATAATTATAATGTGTTATCTTTGTGTATAAACAAAATAATTTATTATACATTTAAGTTAATTTATATTTATATTTTTTTATATTTAATATTATCTATATTATTTGCCCTCACAAACATAAATACCAAATCCGTCTTTGCTCACACTTCCTCGAATTATCTTCTTTTATTTTCTTCTTCTTCCATATTATTTCTCTTGAGCTAACATTTAGCCATTGCAAAGATAATTTCACGTTTGAAATAAAAAAGGAATAACTATTGCAATTAATTCAATGTTTATCACAAAACACTAGCAACCGACCTAGCTAACTTCGGAGATATTATTGACTTTTTGATCCAATACATCTTACAATTTTGTCTACAAAAATGTCTTGGAAATGTATATATATATATATATATATATATATATAAGTAAGGATTAATGTATATTTTTTACCGATTAATCATTGAATCATCTGATATGTTATTGGAGTTGGTACTTGAATATTATGAGTTAAAGGTAGTTTATATACGTAATATCTTGTTTAACTAGTAAGTAGTAGGATAGGAGATTAAATATAGACTAAGAAGTTAAAAAAAATGTTCAAGTTTTTTTTTTTATATAAAAAAATCGTAGTTTAAAAATTGAAAAATAGTTTGTAAATATTGATATTTGAATACTAAAATTGTTTTATATTACTTTTTAAAAATAATTCTATGAATTAATTAAATTATATTTCGTAATTTTAATGTTCAAAATTTTATATATAACATAGAAAGATTCCCTTTAAATTAGACCTAGATGATGTTGATGGTGAAGTTAAACTGTTTAAATTGTGCAAAAATTGCAAATTATTGATTAACTAATAAAATTTTGAAGAATTCTAAAAAAAACAAAAAGTTATGTATACATGACATGACCTATTCAAGAAACAACACATTAATTATAGATCATCTTGAGTCAAATTGAAAGCAGCTAGTTATATATAAAAAAAAAAACTTGAATTACATATATGAATGTCGACAGATCAACAACACTCTTCAACTCGAATTGTCACTATTGTGTATTAACTGCATGCTTTTTTAATCAATTTGATAAGGCATACACTTATTTTTTAAAAAACAATGCAAGTGAAACATTTGTTCTTGTAATTTATTTTATTTTATTTTTGTCTAGAAAATTATAAAAAAATAGAAGCTGGAATCTAGAGTTTTACTGCGAAATAAAGGCTGTCATATGGGGACTTAAAAAAGAAAAAGACATTTTATAATTTTATGTTTGATGGAGATGGACTTGTAATCAAAGAGAGAAAAAAAGAAAAAAAAAAACTTTAGTATATAAATAGCAAAACTGTACAAAATGTCCAATAGACATCACCTCTAATTAGAAAAGGAAATTGACCTCCATTTACTGCTTCTTGCATGTGGCTTTTCTTGAGGAAATTCAAGCACAATTATATTAATTCCTCAAAATTTTATTTTTGCCAAAATAAAAATATGATGTATCGAAGATCGATGCTGTCTTAATAAATAAAGCATTTAATTTAAAATGAATTTGTATATATTAATTAAAAACCTAAATCCAAGGTAGAGAGATGATTATATGCCTTTAAAGAAAAATAATTCATTGAAAATAATATAAAGATAGAAGTATTTTATAAACTATTAGTGAAAAGGTTAATAGGTGATTTTGAATCTCCGACAGATTTTGTCTTCAATTATGCTTGATTAATCACTAATAAACCAAAATAAAAAGTACTTTCATTTGTTTTTTTATGGTCCCCGACATACCATAAATGATGTTCAAGGAAAAATTAAGCCACCAACTTTGTTCACAAGTTAATGGTATCTTTATTAGCATGAACTACTTGATTATTGTATGGTTTTTCATGTAATAATAGATAATTGACATTTTCTCACCCACCTTGTTCTCATCTTTAATTGTCACCATTAACTTTTATCTAACCCAATTTTTTTTCTTTCTTGCCAAACATAATTGGCTGAGTGCCATCTACCATGCTATTCCCATTTTCTTTATGGGATAATTGAGAATTGGGATCCCATGCACTTTTTTTGTTTTTGCTT